GCTTAGGAAACAATTGAAAGGGTTGCTGGATGCTGGTCACATTCGCCCATCAAAGGCACCTTTCGACGCACCAGTATTGTTCTAGAAGAAGAAGGATGGATCGTTGCGCTTATGCATAGACTATCCAGCACTTAATAAGGTCACAATGAAGAATAAGTTCCCGATCCTGCACATTAATGACTTGTTCGATAGACTTGGGAAAGGCAAGTACTTTACCAAGGTGGATCTTCGCAAGGGCTACTACCAGGTTCGCATTGCAGAAGGGGATGAGCCGAAGGCAGAATGTGTGACGAGATATGGAGCCTTTGAATGTTTGGTGATGCCTTTCGGCTTAATCAATGCACCGGCCACATTTTGCACCTTTATGAAAAAGATTTTCCATCCCTATCTTGATCAGTCCGTGGTGGTCTACCTAGACGACATAGTCATCTACAAAAACACCTACGAGGAGTACATGGATCACTTAAGGAAGGTTTTCTAAGTCTTGTAGGAGAACGAGCTATACATCAAGAGAGCGAAATGCGAGTTTGCACAATCAAAGGTGCACTTCTTATGCCACGTCATTAGCAATGGCGAGCTACGGATGGACGAGGCTAAGGTACGTGCTATCCAGGAGCTGGAGGCACCTATAAAGGTAACTGAGTTGGGATCTTTCCTTGGCCTTGTTAACTACTATCGTCGGTTCATCAGTGGCTACTCAGCAAAGGCCGCACCATTGACTGAGTTGCTATAGAAGGACACGCCATGGATTTGGATGGAGCATTGTCAAAAGGCGTTTGAAGGCCTTAAGGCAGCTATAATGGGGCAGCCCATCTTAGCTTTACCTGTCTTTGACATGACATTTGAGGTTCATACAGATGCCTCGGACTTTTCCATTGGGGTTGTCCTGATGCAGGATAAGCATCCCATAGCTGTTGAGAGCTGCAAGTTAAATAAGACGGAGCGGCGTTACACAGTGCGGAAGAAGGAGATGACTGCCATTGTGCATTGCCTTCGTACATGGCGACATTGTTTGTTGGGGTCGAGGTTCGTGGTCAAGACCAACAATGTAGCTACGAGCTACTTTTAGACGCAGAAAAAGCTTACACAAAAACAGGCTAAGTGGCAGGATTTCTTTGCCGAGTTTGATTATATGCTGGAGTATAAGCTGGGCAAAGGTAACGTTGTAGCCGATGCCTTGAGCCGGAAAGCCGAGCTTGCTGCAATCACTTCAGCAAGTTGGGACATTCATGAGGCTATAAAAGAAGGCGTGCAGCATGATCAACAGCCAAACAACTTATCGAGTTAGCCAATCAGGGCAATACGAGGCATTTTTGGTTCGAAGACGGCCTACTGGTTACCACGGGTCGGCGGGTCTACGTGCCTATGTTTGGAGAAATTAGACAGCGGATCATAATGGAGAGTCATGACACAATGTGGGCTGGTCATCCAGGCCAACGTCGCACTAGGGCCTTGGTTGAGTCAGTCTACTATTGGCCACGCATGCGAGATAACATAGAGTGTTATGTGCAGACTTATCTTGTCTGTCAACAGGAAAAGGTTGAGCAACAACAACCCGGAGGACTTTTGGAGCCACTACCAGTTGTAGAGCATCCATAGGAAAGAGTGAGTATGGACTTTATCACTTGCCTACCGAAGTCCGACGGTTATAGTACTATTATAATGGTCGAGGATAGATTTTCCAAATATGCCACCTGCATGCCCGCCTCACCAGGTTGCACTGCCAAGGAAGCCACCAAGCTATTCTTTAAGAGCTTGGTGAAGTATTGGGGCTTACCAAGGCATATTATTAGTGATCGAGACCCCCGTTTTACTGGAAACTTTTGGAGAGAGTTATTCGACATACTTAGCATGGAACTGCACTTCTCCACTAGTTTCCACCCACAGACAGATGGACAAACAGAACGGATCAATGCCTTACTAGAATACCACTTGAGGCATTATGTAAGCGCACATCATAAAGATTTGGCAAGGCTCCTAGACATCGCAATTCTCTTATAACTTGCAGCGGAGTGAGTCCACGGGGCGGACACCATTTGAGCTAGCCACAGGCCAACAACCACAAACTCCACATTCATTACCAGCCGCATTCGAGGGAAAGAGTTTGGGAGCTTATCATATGGCCAAAGGATGGAAGGAGCAGCTTGACACTGCTAAGTCCAACTTGGATAAGGCAGATTAGAAGATGAAGAAGTTTGCGGACCATAAGCAGCGTTCCACGGACTATAGATTTGGGGACATGGTCATGTTGACGTTTAAGCCAAGACAATTCAAGGAACTACATGGCATGCATCAGAATCTGATTCGCAAGTATGAGGGGCCATTTAAGATCGTCGCCAAGATAGGCAAGATCTCATACAAGCTTAACATGCCATCATATCTTAAGATCTACCCTGTCTTCCATGATAGCATGCTTAAGCAATATCGTGAAGATAAGGATGATCCGAGTAGGGGCCAATCAAGTCGAGCGCCTATTACTATCACCGCCTCGCATGATCGGGAGATTGAGGCTATCATGGATTACCAGGCCAGGCGAAAACAAGGGCAAAAAGCCACCGCTCTGTTCCTCGTCCATTGG